TATATAAAATAAAAAAAAGTAAATAAATATAATAAAAAAATATAAAAACAAAAGATATTTTTTTTTTTTTTTTATTTCGCATTTTAAAAATTAAAGAATTTTGCAATCCACCCTGGGGATTATTTATTATCAGTACAAGTGACATTCAACTTTTACTATTAAATGCCATTATTTATACATTAGGTAAAAATAAGAGTGTTCATGAACGTAAAATATTCACACAAACTTATAAAAAAGCGTCTAAAAGACAATTGTATACCAAAACTGAGCTTCATAGCGGAGTTTGATTTTACATGAATATAAACCCTTTTAACCAATATTTCTAGTTCTTTATTATTTATACCTATTCCATTCAGTTCGAAATATATATTTAAAATATTTAAATTATTTATTTTAGTATTAAAATTGTAAAAAAAATTGTTTCTTGGTGTTATGGGTAAAATTTTATACGGTAGTCAACACTGGCCCCACCATCGTAAAGTTATCGTCTTGTCTTGTCTAATCGAGCGATGGTATTGTTCTTGTCTCGCGTGTAAGGAGACATAAATATGTTACTTTCAAATGTTTCGTGGTATCAAAGCTACGTCGTCAAAGTTCAAAAGTGGTTACACTTTTTTCGACGTGTGATAATGAGGTTTGCTTCTCTAGTGTTGTTTTAACTCAATGCCTTTTACGTAGATTTTCCCGAAAATTTGAAAGCCTTCTTCTTTTTGCTAAATTTCGTGATTCTAGGTCAACGGGAACTTATAGGTTTTCGACCCAAAACCTATAGGTACTTTCGGTTGACCTAGAATTGTCAATTTTGGTTAAAAGCAAGTCTTACAGCACAAGAAAGAGACATCTGAAAAATAAAAAAAGTTGAAAATTTCGGTAAATTTGGTACTTATAGTTTCGCGAAAATTGAAATGGCTATATCTTTTTATCGTCTTGAATCAGGACTTGATGTTTATAACCTAATAGGGGCCTAGACCTCAGCGTTTGCATAATTTCAACTTGCTAATTAACCGTTCTGAGAAAATCGGTGGTGACACACGGACAGACGCGACAAGAAAGTGATCTTATAAGGGTCCCTTTTTTTACCTTTGAGGTACGGAACCCTAAAAAGTATAACATAAATGATACAATCAAGAGTCAGTGAGTGAGAAATCACTTTATACAGAGAATCGCTACTACTAATGTCAATCTCGAGAATTATATTTCCCCAATATCTTGAAACTCAAGTTAGTGTATAAGCCTTAATGTGTAGTGCTACATAATTAAAAATAATTTCTTTGTTCGAAGAATTACCTCCATATATTATTTTCTTATTACTGTTGTTTGCATTATTATTAAATATAAAAACGATTAACATTCCTCATATCTCACTATTTCCATAACAATTACAATCTATTAATTAATTTATCATAATATTAGATAAATGTTGTAGTTACTAGCGTAAACTGTAGTAATTTAATAATCAATTACACTACTAATTAAAGTAATAAGATTGATTGAATTAAAATAAGGGGAGTATTAAAATAATAATAATATAATGTTTAATATACGATTGACAGGCCAGGTGGAGTGATGGCTGGCAGGAGCTGGATGCGAGAAGCCCAAATTCGATCATAAGTGCGTGCAAATGGGAGAGGCCTATGTCCAGCAGTGGACTGCGATAGGCTGTGGATGAGGATACGATGGACTATGATTTTACTAGGGCATTTCACCCATAAACGGTTTGCATTTCATTCAAACATGGTCACAGGTTCTTTCCTTGTGGTAAAAAACTCTCTCTTCTCTCTCTCCCTCAAAAAAAAAAATAAAAAAAGGAATTTTATCACAAAATTTCTCCATAGTTTCAGTTTTCTTTCGGATAGACTTGTTTAGCAGGCGTTTATGAAGCAATGGGGCTGAAACTTTATTTATATACTAATGATGAGTCCCCAATTAGTTTGACACTAAGCGAGCGCTCCTATCTCCACTCCATTCCTCCATTCCACGAACTTTTGGACCGCCACCCGTAGAACCACCATTGAAGGTTTTATTTTATGCCTACTTTACAAACGATTCACTCTAAACTTATTGACTGATTTATTTTATCTGAGACAATTAAATAAAATTATTGTTGGTGAATGAGGTGTATTGGATGCACATAGCTTACAAAAATTAGGGACAAGTGAGAGTCGGACTCGCCCACCGAGGGTTCCGTACAAAAAAAATTGTAGGCACATTTATAATAGTTCAAGAATCTAGCTCTTTTTTCGAGCTTGTCCCGAAATTCAGTTTCAAAAACCCTATAATTTCCTTAAATGTGTTTAATAAGAAATTGTACCTGATGATTAATTACGTACCTTTTTCTTTTCTGTGGCGGCAACCTACCCCGATACCACCCACCAGTGGTGATTATGTCGAGACTCGAACCGACCAAAAACCGCCCGGCTGTCTCCAGGTATCCGTAGCTCGGGAAACCAGGTATACCCTAGAAAGGATAGCCTTGGTACCCCCGACGTACTCGGGCACCTACGGCTTATAGATAAACCCCTCTTGTGTGGGCACTGGCCTTCACCTGTCACCCTCAGGCTGCGCTATGGAGGTACGGAGGTCGTATGCAACTCCGGCGCAGATCGCTGCGGCGCCTGGACCTCGTTCCAGGCTCCGCAAAGGCATAACTGCTCGCAGAAAGAGACGGCGGAGTTCCACGGACTCATCGCTACGTACCATGGAGGCAATCATGTTACCGAGGCGAAATAATCCCACTCCGACGGCCGCCACGAGGCCACGCCTTTGCTTCACCCACGCCGGCATCTGCCATCGTGTGGAGCGCCGTGGCCCACGGTCGGGTCGCTCGAGTGGGGCAATCAGGGTTGGCACCTGCGAAATCAGATTCCAGGTGATCTCCGAAGCATCCTTTCCCGGTGTCACTGCGCAGCCGGTATGAGAGGGTTCCGTGATGCCTCCTAGCCAATCCTCCATAACGGGTCAGAAGTGGTGTTGTCGAGGTCGAAGGACACCGCCAACACCACTGCGCCCCGCTAAAACAGGGTTCCTCCCCAACGGGAAGTAACTTATAAGTTTTGATTCCTTTGAAAATGTCGAATATGCGTTTTTTCGGCATAAAACGGCCGTATCTGTTTTTTTATCGTAACTTAGAGGGTTTTATTTTTTACAGCTTCAAGGATCTGAGACATGAGTTATATGGTTATATTTCAACTCGATACCACGCGTTCCGAAATAAAGGGTTTGACCGACAGGACAGACAGACGGACAACAAAGTGATCTATAAAGGCTCCGTTTTTTCTTTTGAGGTACGGAACCCTAAAAAGCATACACCTAATTACTTAAGCTTTTCACTAAATTTTTACTTCCCTGAGACTCGTCGTGTGGTCCGTAAATATAGCTTCAGTATACTAGCAGTGCTTATGATACCATGAATCGACGCAATACGTTCGAAATATAGGGCCCAGTCATTGATGTCAAAAATTGCCCCCATTTTGAAAATGTTTTTCCTTTTAAAACAATTTTCTCCAAAATTTATTTATTAATAATAGTTTTTAATTTCTATTAAAATAAGATTTTAAAGATGCCAGCGTTGTAACAATATTACCCAAAATAAAATAGGTGGCACACCAGTTTAATTGTCGTCGGATTCATGACCGAAGAACCGAAACTCAGTATGATGGCACTGGCCTGGCCAGTATGCTAAGTTTCGGTTTTTCGATTATACTTGTGGTATGATATCATTGCAATTTGTTTTTGAAGTAAAACTTCATTACGCACGCTTGACTTGGGGAGTAAGCTGGTAATGCGTGACGAGAGCGTTGCGAAAAGTGTGATAAGGTGAGGCGAACGGAAGTTGAGAGGTTACGAGAGAGAGAGTTACGTTTCGTATATTACCTTAGGGGCAAGAGAGAGGGTATACCTGGTTCCCCGGCTATTAGTACCCGAGACGGCGTGCGGTTTTAGTAGGTTCGAGTCCGACATGCCACCGATGGGTGGTATCCGAGGGGATTTCTGCACGGAAAAAAAAGGGGGCAAGAGAGAGATGCGAGCACACATTTTCTTTCTCTCATAGCCAAGAAGTTTTACTTCAATCGTGTGGTCTAAAGCACACTCGTTTTTTTTCCCTTAACATTTAGAGGTTGAATGGACATAAACTAAAGTCCTACCTATCCAGGCACCAACAATTTATAATTATGGCGAAGTAGTTCAGATATACTACTAAAATTAACTCGCTTTTTGGGTAATCAAATAGTGTAGGTATTAGAAATAAATGAAATCATTTCCTAATAAAAATAATAGTTCTTATTTCCTGAACAGACTGAACAAGTCTTCAAGAAGATCTGTCCCGGCGAGGAGTTCCTGGCACGTGCCTCTGATCCAGAGGAGATTATGTTTGAATATGATGTGACTCACGGACCCGAGTTTCAGCATGAGCCCGAGGAAGAGGCCGAGGGCGACGCTCCCAAGTAGTCGGCTGGCCGCGACTGGCGCCTCACTCTGTCAGCACGTTTGAACGAGAGTTCGTGCGTCGAAGGCCTTAGACGTGGATCGACTTGTATACTGTAGGAATTTCAAATAAAGAACATAATCAAATATTTACACCTTATAAGCTTTATAACAAAATGCACATTCTCTCAGTATTTTGCTCTTATTTGTAAGTCGTATTGAAATTTCGATGATTTAAATAATTCGACACGCTTAAACGTGCTGAAACTAAGATGTAATCTCAGTAAGATTTATACGCTTTGATCGCTTGACTTTGCTCATTCCGACTGGTACGTTAGGGTGGCGAATGTAAGATACGGATAACGGAAGTTTGAAACCATTGATACCTACGCATTTTACGAGCGCCTATTTCGAAGTTCGTGACCCGCTAAGTTCATAGCCTTGAGAATTAATAAATGTACAGATAGAGCCCTTATCGCTGTTAATTCTAATTATGAAATTGACATTTAAATTATGCAACAATTGGACTCGGTAGGTCGTTACCTATTCTATCCGTGGTCTGTCAGGGTAGACTATTACCCAGCCGGGTTGTCTTGATCTATTGAGTAAGATTGACTTGTAGCCTTAGGAGGTTTAAGCTCATTGATTATAGGTTTAACAGCCAACAGGAACCCGAGGTCTAGTTGATATCCAGTGTAATTCGGACTTGATATCTTAAGTATTTATGTAATATTTGTATTATCACAAATGGTTGCAATACTCTCTACTGAACAATATTTACTTGGCATTGTTAAGTACCTATTAAAGAAGTGTTTAATCAAAAGAATTATATTATTCAAAAGTAAAAAAATATAAGAAAGTATTACAAAGTAAGAAAATATTACATGGAATAGTTTTAGTTATCACCGCATGGGATGTTAGGTTGTGTAATATTTTTAGACGTACCTAGTAGACGTACGTAGTATTTATTATTTTGAATAAGTAACTTAGCACTTTTATGATATTTATTAAAAAAAAAATTGCCAGTGCAGCTTGCACATTTATATTCTTATAAAATGTAGGGGAAGGTGGCCTAAAACGGGTAAGCTAAGAACGAAGATAAAAAAAAGTGTTAAATCATGTTAGGAATTAGCTGGATTTACTTTATGAGATAGGGTATTTATCGAACTTGAAAATAAAAACACTATTTGAAAAATATTTTGTATTAAAAAATTAATTTAATAAAAAAAATAAAATCCTTTTCCAAAAACCCGTTTTGCCCGCATATGGAGCCTAAAAAGGGTAAACTCCTTTGGGCAAAACGGGTAAGTCTAGGGTAAAACGGGTAAGTGTCATCATTGATCAGATAACATAAATAATTAAAAAAGGCAGGAAGCTAAAAATTTGGGAACCTTATTTAACATTTTGGCAACTTAGCATATGACACATGTTGCTCAAAATAGGTCTTAAAGGACCGTATACACACCGATCCAGGGGCTGATGCGGTGTGTGGTATGGGGAGGAAGAGGGGACAAAAATCACATTATTTTTTTATGCATATTCTAGTGCCTAACATATTTGTGGGATTCGTGGTTGTCCAGAACCAAGATTACTTTCTTCTCCAGTGTTGGACGCATAAGTTCAACAAAGTGTCGAAGCCATTCCAAAAAGGTAGATCCCGTTATCCAGCCGTTGTCTGTGCAAGTAGCATTGGTGCCAGGTTGAGAGCCATCCAATAATCTGCTAATCATTCTCTTTCTTCCAAAAATGAGAAATGGGGGAACAAAAGATCCAGCTGCGTTGCAACAGCAGACAACTGCCGTTAGTTTCCCTCTCTCAACACTAGATATTACGCCAACCTGCTTTTTCCCCGGTTCTCGACAACATTTTTGGAGGCTTATTACTTGTGGTTTGTACCCCCGTTTCATCAACATTATATTTCCGCGTTCCGTCTATGGCATGTTTCTCTATTTCTATTTCCAGTATGTCGTAGAATCTATCAACTTGCGGTTTATTAAACCCTCGGGCTCGTGCAATTGATGTTGGTTCTGGTTGTCTAAGCGTAAGGTCAGGGTGCCGCTTTTTAAAACCTAAATAACAGTCGTTTCCTGCTCGGCCGTCTTTAAAAGGGTGCGATATGTTATTTCGTTCTGCATACTGGTAAACAAGCTCTAAAAAGTCGTGTTTAGTACAACCATAGAAAATATCATCGACCTGAAATACATATTCTAGTAATTCTCTTTCTTGAGCCTTATTGCTCAAACACCGGCTGATATCTTCCCCAGCTTCTTCTCAGAATTCCTTTTTTATATGCCGTTGCAAAGTAGATAGGGTAAGGCCATACTTCTTTGCGGCGGCAGAGACCGAAGTAGTCTTCGCTTCTTCCATTGCTAGTCGCATAGTAGTTTCACTCCACGATGCACGTACGGTTTTATGCTTATATTTATTCACCATCTGAAAAAGATCCGAAATATTTTAATACAAAACTGATTCCTGGCGAAACGGGTATGTACCCGTTTTGCCCTACCCGTTTTGCCCGAGAGCACATGTTTTTTGTAAATTAATAATAACCTCAAAATGAAAGGTAAATGGGGCAAACTTTTTATCTTAAATTAAAGTTAGATAGTGCTTGAATGAAACGGTACTACTAATAATATGAGAATTATAAAGGTTTTCGACTAATTACGAGACACTTACCTTGGATTTTTTTAACAAAATCACTTTAAAACTTTCGTTGCACACACCTACGCCATTACGCGACTCCGGCGCCTGAGCGAAACTGATCGAAACTCGTCAATGTTCGGCAACTCTCGACACAAGCACACATTGACACTTATGCTTTATACAACAATATACGAGTGCTTACCCGTCTTGGGCGGCCCACCCGTTTTGGGCCACCTTCCCCTAATTAGTAATATTTGTTTGTATTACCTAACCCAGATTTCAAATAAAGACCTAGCCATTCACTGCATAGGAAGCCAAGTATGTATAATTCAATATTTGTAACAAGATATGTTTACCTCAATAATTCCAGATGACTGATGGTGACGGAACAAGAATACAGTGTCACCACCCCTACTCATCCTCTTCACCTAAGGGAGAAAACTACGCAGAACATTAGCACAGCAGAGAGAAGGAAAACTTGACACAAGCCCTTTTTTTTTTTTTTTTTTTTTTACGTGTGGAAATCCCCTCGGACCGTCACCCCTCCGGGGTTTGCGGCGGGGTGGTGTGTCGGACTCGGACCGACTAAAACCACACGGTGTGCCACTCTGCGCCTGTAACAGGAGGGATCCGGGAACAGCTGTTGTTAAGACATCCGGACCCCTCCTAGCGCCAGCCCGCTCCTGGTGCGGGCTCCGTCTCAATGTATTTTCCTCTCTTTAGGCGACGTCCGGCACACGCGGACGCCGCCCCCTCCTTCCGCGAGATTACTACCTCGCAGAAGGTTGCGACCGCGGTAAAACAACTGTCGCTACCGGCCATGGAGCGTACTACGGCCGGTAGCGAGAGATCCACTCCGATGACTGCAGTGAGGGCCCGGCGCTGCGCCGCCCATGCGGGGCAGACCGCCAGCTTGTGCTGGGCCGAGTCCTCACTGCAGTCGCAGTGGTGGCAGGCGGGACTCAGTTCCCTCCTAGCGACCGAGTGCAGGTACTTTCCCGAAGCAACCGTGCCCGGAAAGCACCTGCGTCAGCCGGAAGGAAAGGGTCCCGTGCTGCCGCCCTGCCCACTCGGCGATGATCGGCTGGAGAGCCTCCACGGCGGCGAAGCCAGCGCGTGGAGTCTCCAGCCGGAACGACCAACGAGCCATCGTGGCTCGGCTGAGCGGCTTCGCGCCACTCGCGCACAATCCTCGGGCGGAGGGCGAAATCCGCTCTCCGCCCGGAAGTCAGCCACTCGCCGATAAACTTCGGCGAGCACTTCCGCCTCCAAATCCCACGGGGGAGTTCCGGCCAATGCGCACGCCACCTCCGTCAAACGGTGCGGTAACCGCGTATGGCTCTGACCGCCATTACCCTCTGAGGGCGCCAGAGGCGTACCCTATTCTGGGCGGTCAGAGCCGCCGCCCACACCGGTGCACCGTACAGTGCCATTGACCGGACAACCCCCGTGTACAGCCGTCTTGTCGCGACGCTGGGTCCACCCATACTGGGCAAAAGTCGCCCTAGGGCAGACGCAGCGCCGACCAGCTTTGGAGCAAGCTGTCGGAAGTGCTCGTCGAAGAGCCACCTCCCGTCGAGGATCAGGCCCAGATATTTCATCTGGGCCCGAACCGGTACGAGGACCGAGTTGACCACGATTGAGGCGCCAGGGGGTGGACCACGACGGGGCCCATGAAATAACAGGGCCTCCGTCTTATCTAGGGCCACCCGTAAGCCCAGCGCCTCAATGCGCCCGACCACCAGGGAGACTCCCCCTGTGGCCAGGCGCGCCGCCTCTTGGAAGTTTGCCCCACCGGGCTGTCCACCAAGGTATCGTCTGCGTAACAGATTAACACCCAGCCCGGGGGGGAAATCTGGCGCGAAGGGCCCAGTCGTACCCTATGTTTCCACAAGAGGGTCCCAAGAAACAGACCCCTGTGGAACACCGCACGACATGGGCCGACACCTCAAATTACCTTCTCGGTCCTCGTACACGACGGTACGCTCCTCTAAATAGTCTGCCACTAGCCGCCTCAGGTACTTTGGCACCCCATGATAATAATAATAATAATACTGTCGAACGCCCCGCCCGAAAACCAAATTGGGCGTCCGACAGATCGGGGCCCACCTCGCAGAGGTGCCGGACGATGCGGGCAGAAAGAACCCTCTCAAACAATTTGCCCGCCTCGTCCAGCAGCACGATGGGCCTATAGGCCGCGACCGAATCGGCAGGCCGTCCCGGCTTCCTCAACAGGACCAGCTTCCCGCTCTTCCAGCACTCAGGGAAGCGTCCCGACGCCAAGCTAGCGTCGAACACCTCCCCGAGGCGAAGCCCTAAACCAACCCATCTGGCCAGTATGGTATAGTAGGCCAAAACCTCCTTTCTTAGGAGAGGCCTATGATGATGATGATATTAACATAAAATATTTGTTGTATGGGAAAATCAAATAACAACTTTTAAATCACACTTTATTATAGTAAATCTCTTCAAGCAACAGTAATTGCTTTTTTAATAAATACATCAAGAAAAATGTTATAAAATATTACAATGGAATACTCTGTTGCAATGGATAACATGTTACATACTTATAATGTTATAATAATCTATTTTTAACACTAATTACATTCAAACTTACAAAAGATTACATCCCACAAAAATTAACTAGATATATTTTGACATTCACATATACATATACCTATATAGATTAAAAATTCATGTCTGTGACATTTAAACCTTAATTTAAAATAACCTTTTTTCATAAGAAAATAAACTATGCACATTGCCTTCCAACTGTGCAGAGTAAGTCCTTTTCATGAATCTCAGATCTCCTGAATAGCTCATATCACGAAGATAGCTCACTGAGCGTGCTCCTATGTCTTGACAACTATGTTGCATACCAGCTTGCAGATATGGAAGAAATCGAAGTACTGAGCCCTTGTCAACAATGCTTCCGCTTACACCCTGTGCAACTCTGTGTTTATCAGTTTCCTTGTGGAAGTATCTGCTCATTGCGGATCCTTTGCCATCCTTGTTCTCCATGGCTTCTAAACTGCCCATTCCTCTGTATTTCTTCAACCTTACACCATCAGAGAAAAAGTACTCCCCAGGTGCTTCTGACGTTCCAGCGAGTAAAGAACCCATCATAACTGTTGAAGCACCTAGAGCAAGAGACTTCACAATATGACCAACACTTTGTATCCCACCATCTGCAATAATGGGGACATTGAACTGACGTGAGTAAGATGCAACTTGATACACAGCAGTTGCTTGAGGACACCCACAAGCCATTACCTCTTGAGTTATACATATAGAGCCACTACCCATACCAACCCTCAATGCATCAGCCCCTGCATCTATAAGATTCTTTGCTTGCATTCTAGTCACAACATTGCCACCTATAACTTGAATGTCAGGGTAAGTATTCTTTATATACTTGATCATATCAATTTGATATTTTGAGTTGCCCTGAGATGAGTCAAGAACTATCACATCCACACCATTACTGACCAGCAACTTCAGTCGCTCCTTGTCTGTTTCACGGGTACCGATTGCAGCTCCTACCAGAAGTTGCTTATTAGAATCCTTTGATGCATTAGGGTAGCTACGTGCCTTTTTCAAATCTGTTCTTGCAATCAGTGCTACCAGTTCACCAGCGCCATTGATGATCGGCAGTTTTCCTTTCTTGCTCTTCTCGAGTATGTAATTAGCATCTTGTAAAGTGACACCAGATTGTGCTGTTATCATATCATCAATCGGTGTCATAACCTCTTTCAGGCTCAGCTGTGGATCACCCTCTCTGAAATCTATATCTCTGGATGTTACAATACCAATAAGGCGTCCACCCAACTTTCCGTTTTCTGTGATGGGATATCCAGTAAAACCATTCTTCCTTTTGGCTTCGATGACGTCAGCGACCGTATTGTTGGGACCCATACACATTGGATCCCTAATGAATCCATGTTTGTATTTCTTCACCTTATGAACTTCATTGGCCTGGTATTCAGGAGTACAGTTATGGTGTATTATACCTATGCCTCCGCACAAAGCCATGGCGATTGCCATATCAGCTTCAGTTACAGTGTCCATCGGAGCCGATACTAAAGGTGATTTCAGGTTAATTTTTTTCGTGAGAGGGGAAGTTAAATCTACCTCTTCAGCAGTGAAGTCTATGTATCCGGGTAGCAACAAAAAGTCGTTATAGGTGAGACCTTCCCTATTCTCGAAGATCTCGGCTGCCGAAAGTCCATCGCGAAGATCTCCTTGAGCCCTAGCAGTCATCATAAACACGTGGAGAAGCGGCCGAGAGTAATTACAAACCAAGATCTTCGAATTGCTTTCTTATGTATGTCGTCTACGCATACGAAACACGTACTATTAGGTCGCAAGAATAATTAAAGCACATTAAAACGCACGCACACGTGGTGTATATTCAGTCTCCAGTAATTGTTGTTACCAACTGGTAAAAGTGGATGAATTATGTTTTTCTTCGAAACGTCGGTATCATAAACAGTGTAATCTCAAAAATAGGTTTTAGAAAAATACGTATAACTACATCTATGGAAGTGTTGTACCGGCTTCACCACGTTTTATGAATGTAACATTTAAGAATTAAGAAAAGAAAAACCGTCTGTCAATCTGAGTCAATCAGTAATAATGACACTAATGACACTTCATTTCAACCTGCTACACACAGACAATTTCTTTCTACTAATATTACTGTACTCTGTGATCTCTTTAAAAAACAACTAAAAAGGTCGACCCTTTTGAGCTATTATTTACATAAAGACTTTTAAGTGGAAAAAGAATAAACATAATGTCATCACTTACAAATGTAATACAGTTAGAACACAAAAAAATTGCCACCAAGTTCATTCACAGCTTTAAGCGTTTTAGCTAGCACAGAGTCTTTAATCGCAAATCTAGTCGGTATGCTAAAATGATTTGGTATCCATTTTCATCTTTTGAGTAATGTTGGTTCGTACCGAGGTAGTACACGCCAAAATGGTTAAAGCCGTGAATGAACTTGGTCGCAATTTTTTGTGTTCTAACAGTATTACATTTGTAAGTTGACATCTTTTGAATAATGTTGGCAAATACCGAGGTAGCTTTTTCAAAGAGTGAAATCGATCGGGCTAATTTCAAAGTAAACCGTAACTTATTGCCACTTCCTAAGCTTGTTTTTGGATGCTACTGCCGAGCGCCGCCGTTCTTCACTTGCACTGTGTCCTTTGATACAAGGTTGCTTCAACCCGTCAGTTATTGTAATAATTTTGTTAGAAAAACGTCGAGTAAAAGGGAAAGGGTAAAAGGGATAAAAAAAAAAATTCGCCACTGTTGCGTAGGTATCTGGGTCCTGACTTCAAGAACTGAATATAAAAGCGCTAAGACAAAACAAAAAATTAATTCTTCAACCCTTTGCCTAAACCTGACATTTAAAAAACCTTGGAACGTATTTTTTATAATCCTATACAAATAACCATTGTTTCTATATTCATGAGGGTTATGGTCAGTGAAGGAACCTAAATATCACATCAACAGCCTTGAATAGTCCACTGCTGGACATAGGCCTCTCCTTAGAAAGGAGGTTTTGGCCTACTATACCACGCTGGCCAGACGGGTTGGTATAGGGTTTGTGTAAAGTTTTCCTTCTTTTTGCAGTGCTGGTGTCCTGCGTTGTTTTGCGCCCTAAGTCGGCTCTAACGACACCCACGGGATGAATTGGGGTAGTGACATTCCGTATTCTTAATCCGTCACTACACGGATCTAAATATAATGTTCCGTAAAGGAACAAAATCCCCTCGAGACACAAACCCTATACCAATCCGTTTGGCCAGCGTGGTATAGTTCTAACGAGAAAACTAGGTTCAGCAGTGGACTGTTAAGGATGATTTTCACCAAACCGCTCGCATTGCATTAGATCGGAACGGATTTTACAATCTTTAAACGATATTAAATCGTGTACACAGTACATATTTAAAGTCTACACTAACAAGCGACACGCGATTGCAGCCGAAAGTATGCTGCGACCATTGATGTTAGATTGTCGTGAGCCAGAGCTGGAATACGTGCCGCTAAAATGCTCTAAAATATCCAATAAAATCCTTAAATCTGGCGTGAAAAATGGGTAACCGCGGTTCGTTTGGAAAGTAACGAATCTGATTGGATGTCTAACTAATAGAGTAGAATACGAAGTATACACTTTCGAAGTGAGGACATATACATACTTAGTAACGGAAGGCATAAACGATTAAAAAAGTCTGGGCTGCCTATTTGCACTGGAAGTTTTATATTTCGATTTTACGATTTTCAGCACCACCAATTGTGCAGAGGAGATAAATCAGTTTCGTTTGCGTTATACACGGTGATTTTTTAGGCGTTTTGGAAACGAAACATTTTAATTTGGAATCATCTATAGTACCAATAAAAACGATTAAATCAATTGTAATGTTGTCTAAAAAAAGTTTCAGTTTTAATATTCATTTTTACTCGATCGACTTGGAAAGTAGTAATGGACTGATCATTCATTCATTATCTTATATGAATGAAACACGTCCGTGGGCGATGCGCACTGCTGACGCTAACAGCAGCTGATAAAAGTATACCTATAGGCGCGAGCTAGCGAGTACTTACGTAGATAGACTCCAATTTGTCCTTCATACTTTACACGAGCTTAGGATCGTCGGAAATACCTATTTTATTTAAACTTCTTTTCGATTATTAACCACGATTGTTCTTTTCACAACAAATCAATTTATCAACGGACTGTAGGTATAAATATTTCAAGCGTATTTAAAAAATCGGAGCTATCTACAGAATAATTAACTTACATACCTATTTACACTATTTACACTTCTCTGTATCGAAGCAACTGCTCAAAATGGAGTCCGCTGCATTCAATACACAAACGTCCACGTTTAATGCAATTGTTTTTTAATTTTCTTAATGTGTCTCTATCACTTTTCACTTTATCAAAAGCGTCCACTATCGCAATGCGTAAATTATCACGGCTTTCATATTCCCGTGTATAAACAAGTCTTTTAAGTCGTTCTTCATAAGAAAAAATCCAGGGGCGTTAAGTCCGGGCTTCTAGGTGGCCAAGGCACTGGCCCTCCTCGACCTATCCACCGATCATTAAAGTCATTGTCCAGGTATGCACGCACTACACTCCGGCGAATAATAATTTACACGTCCTTGACCTTGCGCGTGAGTATAGTATTTCTGTTCGTAGTATTTACCTACTTGCGATTGAAAAGCCCTACTACTGGTTCTCACCTTTTCTCTGTAATTGATATGAATATCGACTTTGATGATAAAAAATATATATATTTTATTAAATTAACGTTATATATAGCTTCTGTTACTGATAAATAACTCAAAATTTTCTTTTCTAAAACGCTTTCAAAATCATCGTGTATAGGGTACTTCCGGTTGACCTAGAATTGTCAATTTTGGTTAAAAGCAAGGTCTTACAGCACCAGTAAAGAGAAAATTCTGAAAAATAAAAAAGTTGAAAATTAAGGTAAATTTTGGTACTTACAAGTTTTCGCGAAAATCGAAATTTGCCCATATCTTTTTATGGTATTGACTCAGGACCTTGATTTTTATACACCTAATAGGGCATTTTCTGGTAAAAATTTCAAGTTGCTGAGAAAATCAGAAGAAGAAGAACAAGAAAGTGATCTTATAAGGGTTCCTTTTTTACCTTTTGAGATACGGAACCCTAATAAAAACTTGTATGCTATTTTTTTAAATCATTTAATTTACTTTTACTATGAAAGCTAGTTTGACTGATAGAATACTTTTTTGTAAAAACATAAATATAATACATAGAAAACACCCAAACTCCGAAACAAATATTTGCAGATCATACAAACATTTGGTCCGACCAAGGAATCGAACCGAGACCTCAGCACAGCAGTCGCAATTGCAGTCAAGTATTATTTACTTTATTTCGAATTAATTATATTATTTAACTGTAAGAGAACCATGCTTTGGTAGGTATATGTATTTGGGCCGGCCAACGGAGTGATAGCAAGACCTCACAAAAAACCGGTGTTAGGTAATTCTTTCGGAACTTAGGTTCCGGAGGTCCAATCCTCCTTCCACTTAAAGGGCGGCATAAAACTTCAGTCTCTTGACTCCCGGAGGTCCAATCCTTGACTGCACGGATGGTTTAGTGGTTTAAGCGGTCGCCACGCCGCTTCCTACTACACTGAGTGTTGTGGGTCCGATCCCCACAGTGAACGACACTGTGTGATTCACAAATTGTTGAGATAAGTGTGGTCGACCTGGGAAGATTCTCCCTGGGTCGGGCATCTAGAAACGCTTCTAACTTTTGACCAAATTTTTGTTTTATCAAAATTAAAACCCATAACGGTGGCCTAGCTTAGACACGACGAAGTGGCAATATAGGTTACTAAAAGTTTAAGCAGCATGATCTAGAAGCATTAAAGTCGGTTCTATCTTTATTAACATACTTTTTCAGTCTTACTTTCGGAGTAGTTGCAGTTTACCATTAAGGAATATATAAGTAGGTATAACTAGCGGCACGTAAGTCTAGCGCTGAGCGGAACGTGGAAGGGATAGCCGCGCATGGGTACTATCGCGCACGCAAATATTAACTTTAGTAAATAGTTAATGTTATAGAGTGTAACTTCTGAAAGTTGTTCACGTGCCAGAGTCGTCAAATTTGAATTTCTTTATTTTCTCAACAATAGGTACAAAAGGTAAGTACGAGGGGTGATCAATAAGTAATGATAATCGAGTATTTCTAGAACGCACAAAAACCCAAATTATTTTTTTTCTGCTTGCTTATATATCCACTACTTCAGCTTCAAAAAAATGTATAAATAGGACACCATTACCGGGAGATACATTCATTTGAATACGAACTGTCGAAGAGAAAACATCAAAATGGAGAAAAATGAAATAAGAGCTGTCATCAAGTACCTCTGCCTGAAAAAAATGTCTACCAAAGACATACACAGCGACTTAGAGGAAACATTGGGGGAGTCTGCTCCTCCATATTCCACAGTCGCACGCTGGGCAAAGGAATTTAAGCTGGGCAGAACCTCCACTGAAGATGAACATCGCGAGGGACGCCCTTCCACGTCCCTTACTGGAGAAAACGTCAAAAAAGTGGAAGATATCGTGTTGGCCGATCGAAGGGTGACCGTAAGGCATGTAGCTGAGGTCACAGGGATCTCCTATGGCAGCGTTCAAAAAATCATTGTCAACAAAATGCATATGAAAAAGGTCTCTGCGCGTTGGGTACCGAG